CCCCCCCACCCTGGTTGCATGCAGGTGCTAAGCAGCGGGTGGTGCTGACCTGGTGTAGGTAGGGAAAGACCAGCAGGCCCAGCTTCTTGCCCACGTACACGGTGTCCACAGCAAAGTAATACTTGAGCTTGGTGACAGGGATGAAGCGGTCAATCTGGGGAGGCAAAGCTCAAGCCTGAGGCCCTGTGGCCCTTGGCGGCCCCTGCCCCCAGCCCACAGCCCAGCCAGGCCAGCCTACTCACGTTCTTGTCTACCAGCTCCTTGCCGTGAGCGGCCAGGCTGCTCCCATAGGCCATTGCCATGTGGGACATAGGGTCGGACAGGAAGGCTGCCTCGTGTGAGGAGGAAGGGGAGGGGTAACCCAGGCCACCATGTGACAGCCCCCCTCCATAGCCCCGACTCGGGGCTGAACTTGTGTCAACGAAAAACTGGTGGGGATCAGCCATGCCTGGCTGGGACGCCGGGACCCTCCGCTTTGAGGCTGCAGAGGAAAACGGAGGGAGCTCATTACTTCGGCACGGGTTCTACTACCTGCTCCGGTGACAACTGGGGCAAGCATCACCAAAACAGCCCCGGCTGGGATGTCAGATGGGTTGCCATCCGAGCACCCCTCCATTCCTCTGTCTGTCCGTCATCTATCCATCCACTCACCTGCCATGGTCAATTCATCCACCCGTCACCCAGCACCTGCCTACCCACCATTCACCCTCAGTTTTCATCTGTCCAGACAAATGGTGGTGCCCATGACAGCTCCATGGTCCCGGTGCCTACTCTGTGTACAAAACCCTGTACCCCCATTGCAAACAGGGCCCCCCTGTCCCTACTCCTTCCATACATGACTTCCCTTAGTCTCCACTGCTGGGCGTCTCAGTGTTCCCTGACCTGGCTCAGGGCCTATGTTCTAGCCATGCCTCTGCCTGGAACATTCTCCCCTCACACTCCTATGGCTCTCTCCTCTTTCCCCAAGGTCTCGCTGCATATATACACTGTACCTCTCTTGGCAGCACCCACCAATCCCTCCCCACTGACGTCGACAGCACCGAGCATCAACGGCAGAGGATCTCTTTCTTTTGTTCACTGTAAGGTTCCCGGGGCGGAAATAGCACCTACTTCACAGCTGACTGCCCCAGCTCCTACAGCAAGCCTAGACTGGCCACTTACCCTATGGGACACACATGCAAAACAGCGCCCAGCCAGCTACATGGCTAGTACAAAAGCCCGGCTCAGTGCACAGCAGAGCAGGTGTTCAGCTCAAGAGTGTCTGGTAAGTGCTATGATCATTTAACCTTGAGCGAGCACTGACCTGCACCACGTGTACAACACGATAGCTCATTCACTCACAGCCAGCCCGATTCTACTGGTGCTATTACCACGTTAAAATTAGTTTTAGTGAGGCAGAGTTGGGATTTAACAAGACATTTCCAATTAGGCTTAAGCACAAGGGTTAAGAGAGAGGCTCTCAGAAAGAGAAGACACACAGAGAGCATGGGTGTGGGCTTCTCTAAGAATCCCAGAAAGTAAGATACACCCAGGCAAGCAGGCAATGGGCTTCTCAAGGCAGCTTGCTATTATTCACATTTTTTAAAAAAAAAATATTTATTTAATATGTATACAGTGTTTTATCTGCATGTATGCCTGCAGGCCAGAAGAGAGCACCAGACCTTATTATAGATGATTGTGAGCTACCACATGGTTGCTGGGAATTGAACTCGGGACCCTCTTCTTAACCTCTGAGCCATCTCTCCAGCCCCCTTTGTTTGCATTTTATAGGAGAAAGAAAAGCTGAAATTTGAGGCTGGGAAGATGGCTCAGTGGTTAAGAGCCCTGGTTGTTCTTATAAAGGACCCGAGTTCAGCCGGGCATTGGTGGCGCACGCCTTTAATCCCAGCACTCGGGAGGCAGAGGCAGGCGGATCTCTGTGAGTTCGAGGCCAGCCTGGTCTCCAGAGCGAGTGCCAGAATAGGCTCCAAAGCTACACAGAGAAACCCTATCTCGAAAAACCAAAA